ATACCTGAAAATACAGATAACACCAAAACTGAAAACTTAGTATTCTAACTTGGACTTTATAGTACTATACCAGAAACAGTAAGAATGTGGATACAATATCTTCAACTGATCAAATGATTCGTCCGAATTCAAAGAATATTATGTAAAAGCAGGATTCTCTATATTTCTTAATACACCGTATCATACCCTGATGGGTGTTGATCATCTCCTAGACCTTTTTCAATGATGGTTGTGGCCCCCAGATCTGATAATCTTTTGTCTAGCTTCTTTGCTACAAACTAAAGCCATGAGAAAGAAAATCATGTCATGAATTTGTGCCACAGAAGAATAAATCAGACAGATGAACTTACATTGTACTTCTGGTAACCAGAATCACCTAATCCAAACACCGCATAGCGAACTTGTTGCAACCAATAGTTTCCCAGATTTCTTTGAAGAAGAAACCTCCAAAATGCCTTGAATGATTGAAAAAGACAATGAACAATATAAGCTACAAATAATTAGAAGTGGTTTGCAAGGAATAACCAAATACATGTTGGTAAAATTTCTCAAGAATTTAAACGAACCTTAAAGGAATCAGGAGAGTCTCCTTGCCCTGTAGTGGAGACAACAAAAACAACAGCCTCCTCATGAGGTAAGGAACTCTGCAGAAACACACATGATAACTTGATGAAAGGAAAACACTTTTATGTCACACTATTAGAGAGTTTGTGAAATCTCAATTTTAAGTCAAAATTCAATCAATATAAATCCAATAGCTGACTATTGGTATGGAAACAAACATATTAGCAATCATCGGTTTTTGTCTTCCACAAATTTCAAGGTGAGCAATTGAAAGGTTTCCTTCACATATCAAGCATCATATAAACAAAGCAAACAATCTTTGAAACAAAATTTTATTTTACTACACACATACCGCGTCGAATTCGTCGGTGGAGACGATAGATGCTGGAAATCCACGGCGTTCTGCTTCGCGGCCAATACGCTCCGCCGCATCAAGAGCGTTCCCGGTCTGAGAAGCATACATCACAAGCAGCTTCCTCGGCTTTTCTCCCATCGCCGCCACTTCACCACCCGTCGATTGAGAATAACTGCAAAACCGGATCCCGGTCTGATGATTTAAAATAAGAAAAGTCGAACCGAAATTGAACCGAATGAAATCGAGAAAACAACCGGTTATTCCTACCCGATTGATGTCATTCCTTGTCGTGGCCGCAAAACGCAATCTAGTGATCAATTACTCTTTTGCTGGTATGCTGGAAATGTGAGAAAGGAACGTTATTGATATGTAGCAGAAGCGATGGTGCAGCAAAAAGTTTGCGCCAAGAATGCTTGAATTGTCCGGTTAACGTTTGATGAAGATGTGAAACTTTCTCTGCCCTCTATGCTGGTGTGACGCCATGGAGTACCATGAATGTCTCACAAGTTGATTAGCTGTGCCAAGAGAAGACTGGTCAAGTGCTTTTCAGGTACTTTCCACAAGAAGCAAGAGGCCGCTGCAATTGATTATCTTCTTGTCGCATACAAGTATGTGTAGACTAAAGCGATCAGAGGCGCTTGTTCTTGGTATATTTTGTGGTTAGGATTTTGATAACGAGTTTTGAAGAGCTTTATGAAGAAGAAACACAACCGGAGGATTTGGTATGCCATCAAAGAAATGGGGTTATGGAGAAGATATGATTCTAACGAAAATGCTTTTCGACTACCTAATCAATCGAATCGCATACGGCTCAGAATGAAAGGCAGATAATAATGAGATTATAGATATTACTGTTAACATCCAGAAAACAGTACTAAGGTCATAACGAAGGTAGCTGGTGATTGATTATTGAGCAATACCGTTAACATCCAGACAAACACAAAAAAAAAAAAAAAACCGGAGTACTAGGAGAGAGAGAGGGAGTTGCACAAGCTTAAAACACCAACCAAAGAGAGATAATTCTACTCTTCAGGAGCTTTTTACTTCACAGTCATCTTATAAGCTCTCTTAGGAGCAGAACGACGACCTATAAAAAATAAACCACGAAGTTAATGGGAGGTTTTACTTTGTTAGCAAGAATCAAGGGCAAAGTCATGTACATAATGATGGGGACCCTCTTTCCATGTCCGGTGGCGGCAGAACCATGTCAACTGTAATCTTCCATCCTCCCACGTTACGTCCACTAAGTTTAAGGGCCTTGTCTACTGCGCCTTTTCCTCCCAGAATAGTAATGCTAGCAAACCTGTAAAAAGGTCATCAGAGACAAGTATTTAGTTAGACTTGATTAAACTATAACTTGAGAGGGAGGAATCTTAAGAAGCCACAAACCTGTAGAGACCACCACTATCATCTGTGGGAATCGAAACATTGGTCACCTCTCCACATGAAGAGAAATGTTTACTCAGCCCGATCTGGACATCAATCTTAGGGAGCGAAGTGTCATAACCCGTAACTCCAATCCTAAATAATTTGGTCAATATCAACAACATGACAACAAGAACACATACAAAGAGAGAGATCAATTTACTGGCGTTCTGACTCCAAGTGTTTGGCTCCCGCAGGATCATTGTATTGTCCCTGATAAGGTGACTCCTTAGCGTATACACGCCATCCTCCCTCCTCGACGTCACTTCCACTAAGTTCCAACGCCTTCTCAAGGGCACCTTCTCCGGCAATATGCATGAAGGCATAACTGTGAAACCACAAAAACTAGTTTCTTTTAGTTGGCATTCGAAATTATAACTTGAGAGCTCAAGGGAAAAATTGGAGGAAGAAACCGAAATCAAACCTCTGGATGGTATCCTTTTCAGCGTTTCTGGGAACGTAAATAGATATGATCTTTCCACATGAAGCGAAATGTTTTGTCAGAGCGAGCTTGAGATCATACGCATGAAGCGAAGTTTCATATCCCTCAACGCTAATCCTGCTAAAGCCACTGCAAACAAAATTTGATGATCACGAGATCTTATTGTACTAAATCGACAACATGACAAAACAACATTAAAAGTAGAATCAATATTACCGGCGTTTTGGAATGTCTGATGCATCATTACCGTTCGATTCAAACCCCTAAAAAGGAGATCTAATCAGAAATTCTACTACTTCAAATGTTTGTCTTCTTTTTTGTAAAGAAACAATTCATAGAGTTTAAAAAGTACGTAATAAGAAATCCATAAGGAGAAGAAGATTACTTTGATGATGGTGGATTCGCCCATACTTAAGTTGAGAAAAGCAGACTGCTAGGGCTTTTTTTTCTTTTTTTTTTTGTCAAAGGACGAAGAAGGTACAGTATCTATAGTTTTCGTTTGGGACATTTCTTGTCTATAATTAAAACCAAACGATTGGGCCTTAAATTTAAGACAGGCCTGGAATAAGCCCATATAGTCCTCGGTTTTTTGTCACTATCAAATCTCAAAGTCTCAAACCTCGAAACTGGTTTCTGTCACTTGGGCTTTTATTGATCCAAATCTCAAATTGAACCGACAAAAACGAGAAGAAGAAGAACAAGTGCATATTGGTTTGGAAGGAAACATAAACGAGAAGGATAAAGTAATAGCCATCGTAAAAGATGAAGTCATAGTGGGCGATGACGATGATACTGAGTGTGATCAAGACACAAACGGGGAACCCACTAACAACGGTAATCTGCTCTAGAATATCTCCGGATGATGCACGTGTAAAATGTACAAAAGATGGAACCAGGCTAATCAGTGGGAGCGATGAATAGTCCGATATGGTTATTCCAGCCTCGGAGATCAAGAAAATTCCAAACACTTACACAAACCTTCTTCCCTTGAGTTCACAAACCAGACCTGAGAATGTATGCCTGGACATGTGAGAAAGGAACGTTAATTGATATGTGGCAAATTTGATGAAGACGGGAAACTTTCTTTGCTGGTATGACCGAGTCGGAGTCACCATGGCATGGAATACCATGGATCTCAGAAGTTGATAATTAGCTGTGCCAAGAGAAGATTGGTGAAGTATACTCAAAGAGGCTCAAGTGATGAAATTCCCCCTGCTTGTAAATTAATTTGTCTTCTTGACTTTTTTTTTTTTCTTTGGCAACTAGATACGAAGCATACAAGAAGATATGAACTTAATGAAAATGCTACCTAATCGATGGATACGTATACGGCTATCAGAACTAAGGCAGATAATGATTATATAGAGATAATTTCTACATTATCCAATACTCTAAGGTAAATAACCAAGGCTGATAATGATTATTGCTGTCAACATCCAGACAAAAACAAAAGAGTGATGAAAAAGAAAGAAAAGAGGCTGCGTTTTTGGTGTATCGTCACAAACTCACAATAAGTTTAAACACCAACCAAAGAGCTTAGTCTGCTCCTAATCCCAAGAGAGAGATTCTACTCGGTATCTTCTTATTCATTTCTTCTTCTCTTCTTCATAAGCCAATATGGAGGGGGAGCACGATCTAAAAATAAACCACGAAATGAATTATGAGAGGTTTTAATAGTTACGAAAAAAATTCAAGGGGCAAAGTCATGTACTGGATGTAGGGAAATTTTTTCCGAGTCCATTGGCGGCAT